CCGTCTATTAGGGCCAAGTCATGATTAACGCCAGGGACCCTTTCCTTCGTCCAGCAAGTGTCCCACCTAATGATGTCCCGGCGCGTGCCACTTCACAGCGTGGGGTCCATCCCGGGACCCCATGTTCCCTACCAACCGAACTATTTGCCGATGACCAACGAACTCAGCTGAACATGCTTGTCCGCGCATTATGCGGCAAACAAGTGATGCGTTTTTCAGGGGTTAACGCGACTTCATAGCTCCACCGCACGCGTTACTTATTGGACGAGATTAATTGGCTTACTATCACCCTAGACTATCCTGTGGGAAACCTGCGAACGATAGCCATTATTCACACCAGCGATCGCTATGTATCATATATTAAATGATCCGTGCGAATATTCGAGATACAGTATCGTTTCGATAATTCCATATAAGCTCCACATACTACACGCGGGTTATACACCGACGCGATTCTTTTCACCCATGGGAGTCCTGCTTCGAATAAAGCTATCAAGATCTCAAAGACACTCGTCTCGAGGATCCTCTTCGAAGACGAAACACGATCGTGCCGCCGCAACGTTAAACAGGGAAGAAGACAAGGGGGATAAGAAGGGTTGAAGAGAAAAAGGAGAGAAAGAGAGGGAGAGAGGAGAGAAGGCGTTTAATAAGTACGTAACGGGCATCTAATACGTCCCGGCAACGGTTTGAGCTTTGACGACACCGTCGACGATAGCACAGTGGTCGGGAAGGATCGCGTTCGAGGGTGGGGAAGCCTGGCGGAAGAGGGAGAACCAGAACTCGATATCTCATTATCGGTCGATCGTAAATTGAAGTTACCGGTGGGGAGTAACGAGATCTCCAATTATCCTTGGGACAGTATCAGCTTGCTCCGTGTGTATTGGTGTTAGCGTGGCGACGATTCAAAGGAGGAAGGCGTTCCGTGATAGATTATGGACGCGTTCTTAGCTCGTCCATCCGGTTGGAATGCACGAATTGCGAAAAACAATGTCTACGCCAGGCCAGTCAGCCGGATCTAGAGAGAAAAATAACGGTCTCGTTTTCTCGTGTCTTGTTGGCAATTTCGTTCTCCCTTTTTCACTTGCCCCCCTCCCGCCGATAGCCCCTGTTTGCTTCTCACTCCAGGCCCCCCACAACCCTTCCTTTCGTTCTCCTATCGCGCGAGCGGTGTGTTCCTGGCTGACTGCGCCTCTCTTCACGGTGGAAAATCAAAAAGCTTTCGGTTAGGTAGACCTTCGAGGACCCTCATCCTACTAGTACCTGACGGCAACTCTTCAGCCTCAGTTTCAATACATCGTGCTGGCATCGGGCTCGAGTGTTGCAGCAAGAAGCAGGCAGGTGGGTGTCTCTCCCTCTCTTCCTTGATAATTCCCCTACCTTGCCTCTCTGATCCTCTTCCTCAGCCACCTCCCCCTACATCCTCTTCGGTTACTCTCTTTTGCCTGATCGTTGGCTATCTCTGACTTCGCGACCGCGTATCCCCGTGTATACTGTGTATCGTTGTATGGGTAATCCATAGGAAGCTGCCACGGGTCCCTCCTCCCCCAGGTATCGCTCTCTTTTCTTCGTATCACCGTACACACGTACGTACACACCAATGCCGAACCGGTCTAACTTGGACGTGGGTATTCGCATCTCGAGTCATTCCCTCGATCTTCCTATCGATGTCCTGCCTCCTCTTCCGTATCTGGGTATCACCGTCTGCCTCCCTTCGCCTCCAGCTCTCTCACTCCCTCCTGGCCCCTTTCCACTTTCCCCGCCTCCTCCTCCTACGCCAGGCTCTCCCTTCCGTCGCAGTTTATATATCGGCCGTCCCTCTCTCTTTATTCCCATTCCCATTCTCATCCTCTTGTTTTGGTCCAATAGTCAGTCGCCAGTCTGATCGATGATACGCCAACAGCCAGTACTGCGCATGGCCGACTAAATACAAACTCACTCCTTATTATACCGGGTGTGCCAATAAAGGGGGTGGCGGGCCAGAGAATGGAAAGGATGAGTCGGTGTTCGGTGCGGCAGGGGGAAACGGGGCGAGGACAGGGGAGGGCTTGGCGAGGGGGTTAGGAGAGAGGAAGCTCAGCGTCGAAGTTCTTGCTCCTTCGAGTCGACGAGCGCCACCATAAAGGATCGTCTTCCTCCTCGTTGCTGTTGCTGCTACCGCTGCTTGCTGCAATGCAGCCCCTCGTACCCCCCTTCGCCCCTCAGTTTATGTACATACATATGTATATATAGAGATATGTATATATATATTGCATGTATATAGATCCATTCTGCGAGCGTAGTTCGGTGTCTCCGTCTCTCGGTAAGCTATTCTAAGATGCCGAAGGATAATCGCGGTATGCGATTTCCGATCCCGAACAGCCTGAACAAGTCATTCGCGACGGACCTACGGAGCTTTCAGCAACTCTCACCGAGGAGTCGTTTTCTATAGGCTCTTTCACTGCTTCGTTTCACAGGATTTCGTTCTGAAAAAGGGTGTATTACTTCTTAGAACTCTTGAGAACTTCTTCGGTCACTATTTGCCATCGTCCGTATAACCTCGTGAGATCTCGAGGTTCTCCTCTAGCCCTTTGTGTGCAAAATTCGTGATCTGTTACCTTCCGTAGGAGAAGTTCACTCGTTGTTCAAGGATAGGGGAATCTTCCTTTCACGGTGAATCGATCGTTTATCTAGAATTTAATCTGAACATACGAATTTTGATTTGAAGAAGAGAAAAACAGGTGTTGATCCTGAGACAGAAGTAACTCGAAGGTATTCCGCTGAGATATAGAAATTCACGATCTTTTGTCTTTAGGAGAAGTAAACTCGTTGTTTAATAAGAGAGAAATCTTCTCGCTCGGGTAAGTTGATCGTTTATCTTAATTTCTAACATATGAATTCCAATTGAGGAACGTTAGTCACCGATTCTCAAACCGAGAGAAGAAACTGAAAGGCAGGTGCTGATCCTGAGACAGAAGTAACTCGAAGGTACTTGGGTGAGTCGGTCATCGAACGCAATAGACGTGGCAAAGTCGGTTGGAAAACGAATAACAGCTTTATGATCGGGCAAAGTCATTTACGCGTCAGCGAATAGAACACGTCTGTCCCCGATCAATGAGAGATTTCCTCCAGGATTCTCTCTCGTACCTCTCGACCATTATCATTTCCGCGACGCAGCCTCAATCCCTTTCATTCCTTCCTATTCCACTGTCTCTCTTGCGTCTGCTTTTCCGTTTTCATCTTCCCGAGAATAACGGACTATTACGTTCGATTACGCCTCTGAATCGCGAAACAGTTCCGTTCCAATTGATCGACACTGTCAGAGGCTGCCAGAGGATGAAATTGGAAAAATCAAAGAACGTCCACTTCTTTCTTCACCGGTACAAATTAATGTCCAAGCCGTTTGGAAAACCCAGGTTTCGTTTGTTTATTTTGGGGCGGGTTGCTTATCGATGAAGATAAGGGACGTACTTTCCGTGACAAAAGCGAGTATTTTTCGTGGCTGTTGAGGGTGGCTCACGGGGAAAAAAAGCTCGCTGGAAGCCTAGGCGGATGATAATTTCGGGGTGGCAGCACAAATTGACAGGGCAACGCGTTCCCATTCATTCGAATTACGTTCCAATTCTGCCGGTGACTTTAGCATTGTTGCTACAAATTGGTACACGCCCTGGCCTGCGGCTCTGCCCACCCCCGCACGCGAACGTGTGTCTGCCTCGTACATACTCCTAGCAAATGATGCGTGTGCGGGCCTTTTTTAAATAACATCCCCGAACGATCACGTACATCACCATTGCCACTGCTCCGGAAGAATGCTGGTGATGGATCGACCAATGTTGAATGGAATTGTTTTTCGACGTGGATTCCTAAACAATGACGATTCAGTAGCTCTTCTCGATATGATAATTCTGACGGTGTTTGTGCGGATAGAAAGCCTGAAGCAACGTTACGTACAGCGAGGAAATTTTTAATAATAAGTTGGAAACGTAGAAAATTGAGGTAAAATAGGATAATTCTGCGATCGAACGTAATAACGAATAAAAATAACGCAGAGGTGTAAGTTAGAAATTTAGCGAATGACAGGAGATCCCGATGCTTCGAAACTTTGTACAAATATTTTTCTGAATTGAAGAAAGACAAATGGCGGTTAAATTGGATATTTTTGTGATCAAAAACGATTACCAATAAAAATGACTCAGAGCTGTAAATTAGAAACGCAGCGAATGGTAGAAGATACCGGTGCTTCCAAACTTCTTTCAAATATTTTTCTGAGTTAAAGCAGCGCAATTGGTAGTAAAATTAGGTTATTGCATGATCGAACGTGGTCACTAATAAAAATAGCGGAGAGTTATCGAGTACAAAGTGATACAGAGCCACGATTGCAGGAATATCACTTTTCACTGGCTGGCCGCTGTTTCTCATCGTGCGATCGCGAAGCAGAACAATTCACTACTCAAATCCTAACAAATAGAGACACTTTCCAGGAAAGGATGCACTATTTTACATGTTACAATTACTAATTTCCCAGCTACAATTAGTTTACTTAGTTTAGGGTGGATAATGCGGGAAACTTGTTGGAAATCGAGCTCGTTAAAGTTGAAACTGGCTTGGGGATGCGAGCGTGACCCGAGGAGCCGACACGCGACTCCGCCCTAGGTGGTCCGGTGATCAGAATCGTTAACAAGTAGCCTAACAGGATTCTGCACCGCGAAAAACAGGATAATGAACCCCTGGATGATCGTTTAAGCGTGATAGTTAACTATGAACCGGCGTGGAACCGCATGCACGTAACTGATCGCACGCCGCCGCCTCATAGTGCACCAATTAGGAGACAATGATCATTAAATGGGCAAGTGAGTCAAAAATGTGCTCGGCGAAGCTTCTGTAGAAAGAAGCCGCTAATAAGTAATCTTCTGCCTGATGTGACTTTGTAATTGGTCGCAAAGTTTTTTTTTCCATAAAACATCGAAATTTCAGGAATTACGAAGATTCGTTAATAATTGTGATTACGAATTTCGCTGTTTCAGGTCTGGTTCCAAAACCGGAGAGCAAAATGGCGCAAAACGGAGAAGTGTTGGGGCAGAAGTACCATAATGGCGGAGTACGGGCTGTACGGAGCGATGGTGCGACACTCTTTACCACTTCCCGAGACCATACTGAAAAGTGCCAAGGAGAACGAGTCCGTGGCGCCGTGGTTGTTAGGTGAGAATCCTCCAAATATCCTCTGATAGAGCTATAAACGAACGAAAACATTAAGTTTTGCTAGAAACTTCAGAGATCTGTTTATCTCGAATGTCGCTATTAAATAAACGGCAATCTAAGTGAAGACGGGATAATGGATAATTATTATACGTGAGAGTCCGTCGAATCCGCCGGTGTGACTCGTTTTAGTTTTCTAAAGCGAGACGTTATTGAAGGCGGCAGCAATGCTTAATGAACGACGCCCCCGGCACAGAGAGTATACAAATCTCGACTTTGTTTTTCTGTTCGTCTCTGTCAGCTCAATCATCTAAGACGAGCAGCTTTAGTCAAGATATCGAAAATAATCAAGAACTGATTGACTGTGGCCCCGCAGGGATGCACCGGAAGTCAATCGAAGCGGCGGAACACCTCAAGTCTGGCGGCGAGGACAGCGGAAACGATCACAACGGAAGCGGAAGCAGCCCCCATCATAATCACCACCAGGGCGGCCCGACCAGCTCGGAGAGTGGACAGGAGAGCCAGGATGGTATGGGACCTTCCTCTTCGACAGGTGATAAACCAACAATTTTTTCAAATGTCCACTAATTCTTACCACTTCCGTGCAAGAAAAAGTATCAAATTATTACTCTGCTCCTGATCCTTCTTCCTTGCAAAAATCATCAGTTTTCGAGCCCACTACTTTTAAATTAAATCTTTTACAGATTCCGCACACAATTTCTGATCCTTTTCCCTTGGAAGAATCGTCAGTTTTTGATCCCATTACTTTTAAATGAAATTAATTAGAGATTCCACAGAAAGTTACTAATCCTTTAATTTTTTATCCTTTCCCCTTGGAAAAATCACGAGTTGTTGATCCCATTGCTTTTGAATAAAATTTTTCACAGAGATTCTATAGAAAATTTCTAATGGATATGGTAAAAATTGTATGTTCCAGGGATCGTTCAGGACACAGAGCAGCTGAGGAACGAGAGCATCGCCTGCCTGAGGGCGAAAGCACAGCAACATCAGCTACAGCTGAGCCTACAGCCCACGGCTGCGCCAACCAGCACCTCGTACCCCGCAGGACCCCCCTCGAGCACACTTCACGCCTCTGTTTAATCAACGTTTCGACATTCCTCCCGCGAATCATCGAAACCGGAAGACGTTCAATACCTTAGGACAACCCGTTCCCACCAACGATCAATCCTTGGAATGGGTCGGTGACTCGTTCGAACTCTAATCTCCGCGACTACCATCGGTGAAACACGTTATCGCGAATTGTCCCTTGTGGACGGAAACTTTCGATGCACCGTGGATCGAAGCGTGTTTCAGAACGAATTAATTAGTATCGTTCGTAATGGAGTTATTCGCGGTAAATAATCGTCGAGTCGAATTCCGACGAATCAGGATAAACGTCTACAGGAGCAGCCTATATGGGGGATGTACAGACGACAGACACCATACACACGCATTAAACACAACGAAATACGAAGTACGATCGCGCAGGGCCTACGCAGTTCTCTCGCGTGTTCGCTCGTGCCTCTTTCTCGACAGAATCGACAAAAGATTACGTAGCCGAAGGGGACGAACAACGAGAATTACACAGTTCGAGTCGGTTCTCTCATCAACGAAACGGTGGCCTATGGACGGCCGAGTACAATGACGGAATCATCGATCGCGGAGTGACGAAGCTCGCGCTTCCACCCGTCTCAATCCTCGCGAGTTCCTCCTCGAGATCGCCTGAAACTCGACTCGGGTTTCACTTCAATTTTTCCAGGTAAACCGGTCTCTACGAGTCGCGCTCAGATTGTGAATCGACGCTCAATGTGGAAGCCGAGGAACGACTAATTAGGAGTTATAGCCGCTTTAAATAGTGCGAGTATAAATAATAAAATGGAAAAAAAAAACGTATACATATTGTATGGCGACGCGTGTGTGCTGCATCAGAAAAAAGAAAAGAGAGAGAGCGCGTGAGTGTGCTTGCGTACCGTTTCGCCTTTTTATTTAGAAGACCACCGAACGATATTTGCAACGAAAACAAAGAAAAAAGAAAAGAAAAGAAAACAAAGAAACAGATTAAGGAAATTTCCAGCGACGAGTGAAATGGAATTTACGAGTAAAAAGAACGACACCACAACGGACACATCGAACTTCGACCTCGAGCTGCGACGCCTAAAATGGCGTCGCTTCGAACTTCTAAATATAATATACTTTCCAGTCTTCAAGAGAAATTCGATGGAAATTCGTACGAAAATCCAAGGTGTATTCGAGAATACTCCGGATTATTAATTGATCATTAAAGCGTACATGTTTTGACAGAGAATGTGTATGTGTGTGGGCGCGTGTGTGCGTGAGCGAATGAAAGAGAGAGGAAGAGAGAGTGTGATATACGGTTTCGTGGATATTACGAGACAGAGTGCAAATGTTTATTAGCGAACACTTCCTATACCCAAGTACTTAAAGAAGACGTAACTGTTGTCAAATGTGCAATATGTCGGTATAAGTTCTAGATTGGTAAGGCATTATACTTTATTTACGGATACAACTACGTGAGGTGGTCGTCAGGGTAATGGTGCCTTGACGCAACGAGCTGCTTAAGGGCTCTGAAGCTAATTAGAATGGATCGTAGGATGCAATTTATAGGTTAACGAGGGGATCTTTGATTAATAATATAGCTCCTTATATTAAAAAGTATGGAAGAACGAAAAGAGAAAAAAAGAGAGATCTTAACCTTGGCACGGAGAATTATTGTCGAGAAAAGAAAGAAAGGAAGAAAATGTAAAAATGGAAATGTCTAATTATAATTCCTCTCGTTTCTTTGCATCCTATGTTGTTTATCACAGAGGTATTTACAATGTAATTTTTATTCTTCCACTTGCCAATATATGTGGTTACGAGGCACACTAAGTCGAACGAGTCTCTTTGCGATATTTTCTCTCCCCGTGTGCACCCCGGTGATTTTCTTTTTTCGTGTACTATGATCGTCCAACAATTCCACGCACGTTTCGTTTCACTGTTTTCATTCTCTCCACGTGAAGGATAACGATCCATTGATTTGTAACGAAGGATCTTAAGCTGCAGAGGGTTTTCGTTCGTCTTAGACCCACCGGACTATAAACACGTAAAGTAACGCACTATAATTTAAACGAAACAATTACGGGATGAGGGTGAGAACCACACAAGGGTGAAAAGAAAAAAAAATGAAGAAACGAAATAAAACGAAAGGAACACCGATGTGGTTTGTGAGATACACACTTAACAACGCGCTTCGGATCTCAACGCGAGGACTCCCTGTATCCGAATGCCCCAACGCATGCATAGTAGTCGGCTAGTGTATGTAATAAATAAAGTTTCTGAACAAAACGACACTGTCTTGTTTCCCATTCTTGTTCTCATATTCACAGCCCTGTTATATCGTTCTTCTCTTCTTTCTTTTCACAGATAAAATTTCGAAATATTTGGGTAACCATTTTCCCCTTTGCTACTTTCAAGGGTTAATTAAGGATGCTAACGTCATTTCTGTCGAAGAGTGCTACTCGAGAGAAGAATTGCCAGTTGCGTTGGAGATAAAGAGTCGTGACAGTAAACAGCTTTCTGGTTTTTCTTTCTTTCTTTCTTTTTTTTCAGCGATACCCATTAACGTCGCGGCAAGACTTTGTTTCATTGAGGCCAACAATTACGCCTAATGACGCCCTTGGATTTTTCAGGGGACGCGTGCACTCGATAATTCTCATTTAAAAAAAAAAAGAAACAAGAAAGAAAAAATAAGGGCAAAAACGAATTATAGGCTTCGATGTATTGTGAACAGTTTCTTCTTTTTCGTCCACGGGACGGTAATGGCAGACCCCGATATAGAAAGTCCTTTGACGCGAAAAAATAATTAAAAGTTTATTAATTATCGCGCGGTTTGAAAACGTACTTAAAAGTACGTTTCGCGGCCTAATTTTTTTAACGAATTCTCGAACTTCGTTAATACGGTTAGAATTTTATCATATCGAACCTTTTTCTACCTTTTTGATTTTTTTTTTTTTGTTTTTGGTCCTATTTCGTTTATTTCGTTCCGCTTCCGTTTCCCCATTTTTGTTTTTCACCGTCGAATTTTTCGTCGATAAAGAAAGCGTCGCACGCCCTTACGAAAATCAATATTCCATTAGAAAGACAGAACTGGGCATAATTTCGTAAGAAGTAATTCGTAAATAATAACCGTATGCGAGAAAATTAGTTACACTGTCTCCGTATTCGGTAATATGGCGACATCTATGGAAACGGAGTTATTGTAGAGGATGTCCGCCATAATGCCTCTCTTATTCGGTTTCCCTGTTGAAATCCCTGCATTCTCTACTCTTCATCGATAACTTATCGAATACTGGTACTGTCTGAATTGCCAAAGAAGCTCGAAAGGAAGATATATGTATGTCTTTGAAAAAGTACTACGAAAAAAATAAGAGAGAAAAGGAAATTGAAGCGTAGAAAGATTCGTGGATAATTTGAATTTCGTATTTATTCGGTATATTTCTTTATATATTAATACATGTGACATTAAGGACGCAGTAACATATTAACTGGACATGATTCTTGCCGGGCTGGATTCACCCACTACAAGAACTGAGACACCGATACTGAATATTTACAAAAATACAAAAGCTTACAAAACATCGACTACTATACAACGAACTCTTGTGTCTAGTCGTCTCGGTATCGTCTTTCTGGTCTACACATCGAAAACTAACACGAATTCCATCAACGACAACTGGCGAATTGTCAACGTGCCTCTAAACAATCTAATCCGACATTTACGTCGTCCATCTAAGAATTACAAAAATCAGACTTGTAGGTTTCGCGGGGTAGAATTAGCGAACTACAACCCCGATAGGCCCTATTGGTATGTCCCTCTTGATGTATATGTAAAAAAAAAAAAAGAACACGTTGCCTTGAAAAATCCTTTAGAAATTTTTGGTATGAAAAATCTGTAGAGAGAAATTTCTTTTTTTCGAAAAATCGCGTAGCAAGTCTCATTATGTAGTATACGTATCGTTCTTAGGATCGCGTTGCGTTTTCATATTGTTCATTCTCCTTCCCCTTTGGTCCAGATGTTCATTTCGTCGAAGTTTTGCGAAGTTCGCTGCTCTGAAACGCGCGCTCTGTCTTAATTAACGAACAAATTTATAATGACTATATACAGAAGAAACATCGCGTGAAACCGTTTGCCTGACTCCGTAACACAGACGCTTTTAACAATGTACAAATTCGCTCATTTTCTTCGAATTGAAATTTTTTACCTGGTCGATTTTAATTGACATTTACAATATAGAAAATAGGATCTATTCGATTCGAATTCTACTGGGAGAAAGCATCGAAATATCGCGTGTACTAAGGCGTCACTAATTTTATTCCATACTTCAGCCCTCTAAATTTAACCGTTGCGCGACAGCTTCTTTTTTCTTTTTAGTCTTTGTGCAACTTAACTTTACCTTCCAAGTAATCACTTCGAACGTGACAAGATAATTTGCAGAAATACCACGTGAGATTCAAATTTGGAGAATAAGATGCATTTGTAGAAACCGAAAACGACTGAAAACGATTTTCACAAAATGAAATCGCGAGCGAAAGATGAGGAAGACAACTTCAGTATCAACGAATCGAACATAAATACTACACGATCGACGAAGGAATTTACGAAAGAAAAAAAAGAAAAAAAAGGAAAGGAAACGAAGCTTCGTAGTCTCCATTTTTTTTTTTCACTCTATTTACACGTTTCCTACTTCTCGTATCTGCTATTTCAATTCTCTTCTCTGTTCCTCCTACGTGAGAAAATGAATCTCCTCCGAGGCAACTCTTCACTCTATCACATTATTGTTTAAACATATTTCACGACGTTCAAGTCACTGACATGACTCTCCCGGAGATTTCAATGCCGCTCTCTGGAGTCCTCCCTATGCGCGCTGTGTCTGCGCGACTCCTGACCGCTCGGTGTCACTGGTCTACGCTTCGACCTCTTAAACTTCGCTATATCCTCTCCGAAAACGTCCCCGGTTCGAAGAGCCGATATCAAATCGTCGAATTCACCCTTGTTGTCGTTCTGACCGTTGCTGTTTGCCTCGTTCTTCTTGCTCAGGGAGATACTGTTCAATATCCCTTCGCGAGAGTTCTTTCTCTCGATCGTTCTCTTTCGAAGCTACGAAAAAGAATGGTTCGCAGAAAGAGGATTAATGAAAAATTAAAGATGGAAAAAAGTCCATAGATTGCATTTTACTTTACTCACTTCTTGTTCCTGTTTCGCCCTACGTTCCTCTTCTTCTATCTTCTTCCTCATATTCTCTACGTCCGCTCTAGCCTCAGCTAACGCTTGCAAGAAATTTTCAAAGATTCCGAAGAATTCGTCCGGCTGAACACCTGCTGAATCTTCTCCGAACAATCTGACAGCTCGATCGAACTGTTTAAAAAGGAATTTTAATAAGTAAACAGAGACGATAATAGAAACGAAGACCTACTGGCTTGGAAACCTACTCTGGTCTTCATGTCTTGGAACAAATCCTCTGCTTCCGCTAGCCTACACGTGGCCTGTGCCTGGAAGTCCCTCATTGCTGGCAGGAACATGTCTCCCTGCAGCACCTGAGACTGTCCACGATGGAATTCTACGAGAAAGGAAGCCAAAGAAAATCGTAGGAAACTGGAACCTGTTTACACAAAGCTTACCTATTTCTCTCTGAACATCCTGGAGACCGTTCTTCAGGTTAGCCACCTCTTTCTGCAAGTCAGCCATGCTGACTCTAGCTGCGGTTCGAACGTGAGGCATGTCTTCCTCTATATCCAGCACCTCTCTAAACCTAGACTCCAAAACCTGAACCAAATAATGCAACAAGGTTGTTCCTTTGGAGCAAGAGGACTTAGTGTCGACTAGACGGTTCAAGGAGGCCAGGCGGAAGCCACAGGCGTTTCCTCGAGCGTTCCCACGGTTCACGTAATTCCCCAGGGCCAAGACCAATTCCAGGAGCTTTCTCAGCCGTCGAGACCTAGCCACTTGTCGACTAGCTTCGAGGACCGCGCGCATTCTAGGCGTCAATTCTGCAATGCTGGCAGCGAATTTCTTTTTGTAGTGAAGGGAACGCAGTCTTTGCTCGTAGTGCGGTACTCTGAAAGTATAAACGTCACTGCTGTAATATTTATACATCTTTAGCAAACATTGTCCAACACAATTACATATCGACATATACTACAGATAGGCTATCGTGTTTGTTGATGAGAAACGTATGATTATCGAGCTACGTACTTGGATATTTGGTACAAGAAACAGTCAGCTCTGCTCTGCAGTTCTTTCTGATGCATATCTAACAGAGCAGCTTCTTCCGAAGAAGGAATATACTTCAACAGCTGCTCTACCATGTCTATGTGAAGAATATTCTGTTGGTCCATACACAAGATCGTCCTGGTGATCTCGTTGTCTGACATTTTCAACTTGGACAGGAGTATAGTGCAATTCTGAGCCCTCCTGGAGTCGATCACCGACATGGTCTTCTTGTTCTTCCCCAAAGTCCTCAGGTCTTCGATCGAACCCTCGGCGGACACACCGTTCTTCTGATAAGCGCAGAAGATCTTATCGATGGATTCCAGGTCCATGACGTTGTAGAGCTTCGTGTCGTCTAGCTCAGACCATATAGTACCCTGTAACTTCTGCTCGGGTATCTTCGACCAGTTGAAGGACTTCAGGGGGTTGCTTGGCTGAGGAACGTTCTTGATTATCTCCACCTGCAAGCATTCGTCCCCTTTCCGTCACTCTAGTTTCGAGAGTAATCGAGAAACTTGGTAATTCCTGAGGATTAAAGGCTCTACCCTACCTTCATCGGAGGAGGAGCTGTTGGCATTAAGCAAGGAGGAGGCGGAGGAGCCAGGGGAGGTGGCGGAGGTGGCGGTGGCATCGGCTTCGCCTCGACTTTTTCCAGAACTTCGTCTTCTACGATTTTAATCGTCGCTTTGGCGTCATCCGGTAGGCTTCCCGAAGCTACCAGCTGTTCTAATCGCTTTCTCTCCGACTTCTCGTTATTTATCTGACGGGATAACGCCTCCAGGTTGTCCTGCAGTTCTGAGATCCTCTGTTTGGTCTCTATGTGCATCGATGTCTCCTTCTCGAGGCGTTCTTTCACCCTGGCCAAGCTTGCCTCTATATCTTCCTGGAAAAGTATGTCATGGATGAGAAGAACGATCGACGATTCTCAGTTTGTTGACAAGACCACGAGATAAATTACTTTCTCCTGTGTCCTCAGATCAAGCTCTTGTTCCTTCTTGGCCAATCTGGTCGACATGTCCGAGTTTTCCCGCTCCAACTCTTCAGCCTTCTTCCTCGCCGCGACGAGTTCCTCTTCCTTAGCGAGCAAATGAACGATTTCCTTCACGTTGATCTCTATCGGAGCTACGTCTGGGTTCCTTATCGTGCCTGTCTCGTTTCCTTCCGACTGGAGAACGATCTGCTGCACGATCCGGTCGAACAGCAGCCAGTGCTGAGGATGAGAACCGTAGTCCACTGAAAAAGGGAAAGGAGTTACGCGTAAGAAAATTTCCTTTCCGAGCTACGATCAATCGATGGAATAAATAGTATGACTTACAAGGTAGTAAGAGGCAATGTTCCAAGAGACTCAACAGATGAGGATAGGCAGCGGTGTGGCTGAGCTTCCTCCTCAACAAATCGAACATCGCAGTGGCGCTCTTCGTATCGACGTGCTCTTTCTCGAACTTCCTAGCCAGTTCTTTTTCATCCTCGTTTCTCACCATCTCGAAGAAGTCCAAATGCCTATCCAGAGTCTCGTTCTCGTACTTTCTCAGCTTCTCGATGATAGGCTGTATACCAAGCATCAATAACTCGTATCTAAGGTGCAGCCTAAACTCCAGTGTCACCTGGCCAGGTCCATAGTTCAACACAGCGTTGATGAACGACATGATCGCGGTCTTCAGAGACAAATTGTCTTTGTAGATCCCGAAATTCTTATCCAGATCGTTGATGATGCATTGAAAACGCGTACGCTCCGAGTGATATTGCTGGAAGTGCAGCATAGCTTCCAGGACCTTTCGATGACCGCCAGGGACCAAGCAGACAGCGCCGAGAATTTCTAGAACTGAAATCTTCGTCTTGATGTTCTCAGTCGCCAGCGACTGAGATATCGTGTTGATAGCTGTTGGGTGTGCCAGTACGTGTGCTCTTCCATTCTGCAAAATTAGATCAGAAGCTCGAGAGATGTTCGCAAAGAATTCGAACTATTCGCCTATGCACCGAAACTCACCGAATTATTCATCAACGCCTTCAAGCACCCTATCACACTGGTATGAAGATTACTATTAGCTGCTTCAGCGTCCATGGTACCAAGAACCTGCAGCAGAGCATTTAACCCGTCCAGTTCTATGAACCTGAGGACGAAACTATGCGGCTGCGTCCTCAGGGCAGTCTTCAGGGCCTCTGTCTGCCTCATCTGATTCGAGACCTCCTCGCCCTCTTCAGGAAACGGACTCTGCAATTAATCATTTTATCGTGAACATCAAGATCGATCCATTTGTCAAAAATAAACACTCACACTGGCTATAGTCCTCAGCCTGTTGATATAGTCTTCAGGATCGCCGCTCAAGTCGGTGGTTCTCAGTCCGCCGTTCTCCAGCGTGCCATTCCCTTTTCTGGAACAGTATATCTGCCACTTTTTGTTCGCCGGAAGTGCCAGAACCGCCTGTCGGTTGGCCTGGGTCAGGTCCAGCTCGTCCACCAATTCGAGAAACATCTTGTTCAGCTCCTCCTCGGCGGGCATCGGCAAAGTGGGCGTCATCGCTTGAAGCGTGAGCGTACCCGTGTGCTCCACAACGCAATACGTGATTTCCGGTGGCTCGTCATCCTGTAGCAAGAGAAGAGAAACAACCGTGTTTTCAGTCAGCTGTTGCAACTGATGCTTTTGTGGGTAATCATTTGATTTTCCTGCAGGCCTGTTTTTACACGAGGATACTGGGGGGCAACCATGAGAAAGATGATGATGATGATGATGATGATGATGATGATGATGACGGTGATGAAAGGAGCAATAAAATGTCGACGTGCACCGGAGGAACGTAATTTCGGTTATTTGTTACTCGGTTGTTGCTAAACGTGAAGGAATTTCTATTCCCATTGCGAATAGAGGAAAAGGTTACGGAATTCGGTTCATCCAGGTATTTTCGAGTTTCCGTGGAAACCGATTGGGAACGAACGATGATCGAGGGTATGTAACCAGGTCTTGACCTTATTGAAGACGAGCCTCGGCATTAAATCGCGGTGCCGACTGGTTGCCGAGATGCCGCCGGTGAACCAACTTTACATGCGTACAGTGCGTGCAATAGGTGATCTACCGAACCCATACATTTCGTATCAATCTCCTATCGTACAACCTACTTCGGAAATTCTTTCGAAAATTTGTTTAAGATAGAAACAATGTCTCGTAGACGAAATTTTCGTGTAATATTCGAGTTGTCCTATTTCGAAGATCGTCCTACAGTGACATTAGCCAAAAATGATTAATGTTATACACTGTACCGTAGACGAGGCTCTTTCGCCGAGCGCGAACAGTCACAACCAGAGGCAGCAAAGGTCAGGGGACCGGCTCAGGCACTGGATTCCTAAGGTACTTTCACACGTGACTAGGAAATTACCTATTCACGTACCGCGCCGCCAATTTATTCTTCGCAAACATCATCCCACTACAACCTTAAGACTCTACGTGTCACCTAAAAATATGTATTTATCAACCTCTGTGCAACTTTCTGCTGAAACACGACATTCACGTCTTCCTCGTATACTCTACGCTGTAGCCTGTTATCACCGAGACAGATAAACAGAACTATGTCAAGATAATCGTCAATGTGAACGACCAGGAATATTGACAGAACAATCGCTGATCCTCTCTTATTGACGCTATCACGCTGTTTGAACAGCCAGATCTGCGTTACATCCAGACTGCACTGATTTATCGTCAAGATAATACCACAACTGCAGGGAGGACAAACGTTTGATTAGCAAAGCACCACTTCTCGAAATCTGAATATATCCCCGGTCGATTGTCGGTTTCTACGGAGTCCAGCGTTCATGAATCGGTTTCAGGTTAACGCGAGAGGCGTGAGGCCAGCACGTGAACGCGAAACAAGAGGAGACGCGATAAAGCGTGACACGCGACGTGCCGCTGGCACGCACACGTGAGGCTCGAAGTGGAAAAAGGCAAAGGAGGTCAGCCAGTTGGATGTTGGATCCGCGGCTCTCTCGAGCAGCCACGTTCCTAGGAGGACGAAAGTCTATCCGCCGTAACGAATGCGTCGCGTAAATAACGCGGATAGACCCCCTTCGCGAAGAATCGACGATGGTGTGTTGGCTAGGGTTTCTTCACTTTGGGCAACGATTCATGCGCTGTTCACACGTGATTGGGATTTATAGCCTGGGAACTGCCGGGGAAGATGCTTCGTGGGACAAAGTTTATCGATCTCTTCTAAACGTGACTACGCCGCTTGTAAATTGCTTCGACGAACGTCTATGGTATTGGAAAAAATCGGAAAATCGCAAGTTTTACTTAAGAAGGTGTTCTACTCTAGAGTGACATTTTCGAGTCCTCTTTAGGGATTTTTTGTAAGGAAAGTATATGTTTCTTAATATCGGCATTTTGCATACATATTTATTCGTGTTTTAAGAAAGTTCACAATTTTTTTCAAGTGAAAATAATCAACACTGTCTGAATTATATATCATTCAGTACGGTCCCTTTGAAAAAAAGAAGTGTCCTACTGGCTGACACGATTCCGTCCGTTCTATTTATCCGAAATGGAAAAACCGAAAGGATTCTTGATTGGTACGACTGTGACTATGGCGTGAACCAGAATGAGAAAAAAATAGTGAATGTTTATAAAATGGCGGCACTTTGAATTTTGAATATCGATTTTTTCGAATCTTTTTCGTCTTTCATAGACTCTAAAAATCAGAAAAATAGATATTTTGGCATAATTCTGGTTCACACGATAACGGCATATCCACCGAAGGTACATGTAAAATTTCGAGTCAATCGGACAACTAGAACTTGAGATATCATGTCAGCCATTTAGAAAAACATGGTTTCGAGAAAAACACGTTTAAAGTTTCTCATACCAGTTACATGTCTTCTTTAACCATCTACCAGCCATTTAGAAAAACATGGTTTCGAGAAAAACGCGTTTAAAGTTTCTCATACCAGTTACATGTCTTCTTTAACCATCTATAACTTCGTCAATTTTACGAATTCGGAAAGATCCTCCGACAGTTATACTTCTGCAAACGTCTCCTTTCAGAAAATGCAAAAAAAAAATCGATTTCTTTGAAAGGTCTAGACCAGAATACTCCCTTAACGAAAGAATTAACGCTTATTGAAGGTAGAACAAACAGTAAACGTGTATACGGTTAAAATAGAGTGTACAACGTTAATATGTCGACGTGCGTTACGATGTACACCCGTCCCTCCGTTTACGCGGATTGACCGTTCCGCGTTGATCTTTTTTACGCGGATAAAAATCGCGTAAATAGAGTCTGCTTGTATGAAAAAAAAAACATGGTAAGAAAAACAGGTATAAGTTATAAAAACATTTCAACCGGATAGATTAATAAAAAAAATATTCGTGTGACCGACTTTGCAGTTAATTATGGCACGAGACTTCGAAACTTAAATCGTAAGACAAGAGGTTAAAAGGAAACCAAAAACGGTCAGAGTACGTTCAAGTAAGAATTTGCGTCTCTCTGATGTGTAATAAATTCAATGAAAATTTATAGAAAACTGAACCTATCTGACCGCGTAAAATAGTACCGTGTAAATTGAGGTATAATTTACCGCGTAAAAAAAAAACTCGCGTGTAAAAAGTACCGCGTAAATGGAGGGATGGGTGTATTGTATAAATTATATAAAGCACAAGAAAAGTAAATCACGAGGCTGAGATGTGTTCTCGGTGACAAAAATATATTCGTAACTGTGTCTTCGTCCTTTGCATTCCTCCCACCCTCGGTTCATCAAGTTCCGAAGAACGAAAGACGTTGCAGCTTAGAATGATAGACAGTGTTCAAAATGAATAATTAATAACGCAAGTATCACAGACACAGACACGACACAAGGAAACCCTCTATTCTGTCATGCTGTTAACAGCTATTTAGCAAAATGAAAGCTCCGCTGGAGATTCTCGTACGACGTTTATCCGTCAAATTATTAATACCCTGATAAATAAGGATAAATACCTAAAGAACAGAGTAGAGCAGAATTATGAGCAGCGATCTTGATGAAAGATCCGCTTGATGGACAGACAGGAAGCATCAGGGGGCATTGGATAGACGATATTTCGATCGTTCGTATACTGATGAGATTCAAATCCTACCCATTTGCCAGGACAGGCTTGATTGATCGCCGAAAAATCGCAGGAATCAGCGTTCGTTACGTACGGCCATGCGTTTCATAGTCCACGTATAATAAAATCCGCCAAGGCGGCCCGAGATGATTATAAAATATAGCTTAGAGTGGCGCAAACGACCGCTGAATAATCGCGTCCTACCTTCTTCCTCCTCCTAACCGAAGTGTTTTACCTAGCGCTGGGCCGAGGAGGAGCGCGTTGCAGCTGACCGTGATAACAGGCGTAATCCAAAGGCACGATCGAGGAAGCGACGTTATAACTGCACAAAGTGACCCGATTTAACGCGGCGACGTGTTCATCGGGCGCACGCGATGTGATTTATACCGGTTCGTCCGGAACGAAAGCGAAATATTATACGCGCTGCTGTCACGAACGTAAGGAGACGCTCGCTTCCTTGTAATTTCCAGGGATTTGACCTCAGATCAGCGGTGGAATTTAACATCTCATTCTGAACAGTCATCAGATTCATTGACTCGAATTTACTCTTGTCGAGAATAGAACGTCTCAAGATTCTATCGTAAACGTACAGTTTTGTAGGTTCCAGTTGATAAAAATCGAAAATGTTTCGTGGCTAATTAGCTTGAAGTGTGTGGAATAACACACGGAAAGGATTTTTGCGAAATTCCAAAACTTCTGAAAGTTGCGAAAGTTTGAAGTTAGCGGTGTGTATCGTACAGTGATTATGAGAAATGTTGCTCCTAGGTTTGCAGCCTATCGATCGATCAAACAAATTCGGTACAATTTTGTTAAAGAGAAAGAAGGATATATTAAAATTACAGTTTTATATAATTATTGTATTCGACGAATTAGAAAAAATAAACAAATTAAACTCTACCTCTTTTACTATAAAATGTAACGATTGCATAATACTTAAGTACCTAATGCTTGAACAATGATTACACGTTTATTTAAAAAAGAAATCGCCTCCAATAATTCTTCGTTATTTCAAATTTCTTCGTAAAACTGATCACAGTTTATATTTATATCGTATCTTACAATTACATACTTTGTCCAGTTTGGTGGAGAATATCGTTTAAATGCAATGGAAGTTTACCTGTGTTTATCTGAATTCCAAAAATTCAGGCAGAATTGTAAATATTATACTGTCTCGCAACGTAAATTTAAGTAAATTAGGTTGAACTGCACAGAAAAAACAAACGGACGCAGCATAACGTGGAGTGATAATGCTTAAGACATGTAAATAGAACGATAAATTTAGTGTAAATATAGAAAACGTATAATATAATTTATTTTATGGTATAAATTTTTAATAAAATTGTGAAAATTGATAAATTATACCGTGTTACGATATCGGAAATCTCCCGCGAAAATCTCCCGCGAAAATTTCCCGCCTGACCTAACCGACGATTTTGCTAATGACTTTGGGGAGAGGGTACCGCAGGTATATAAGGACCCGCCGATGTCCCGCGAAATCATTTACCCTTTATACTGGGCCC